CCATGGAATCCCAGAGCACAGCCACACCTGTCCACACCAGTGTGAACAAAGTCAGAGACACAAGGGACAAGATTATATGGTTTGATTTATGGAAAGAACACAACAAAGTATTACTCTCCTGGTAAATGTCAGGGGAGGGAAGAGCCAAGGGAAGAGTCTTCGAAGGAAGCAGACTTCTGTTCTTCATCTTCTGGGGTGAGTTACACAGGTGACTGACTCACTGTGACCGTCTTGAAGAGGCATGTAATGCTTCCTGTAGCATTTTAATAAAAAGGATTATCAGAAAAACAATTTGATGGGAAAAATGTTACTCTGGATGCTATGCAAGAAATCTCCCCACCACAATCGTATTAAATCTCCCAAATAATGGTTGATGTAACATTTTCCTAGTCCCTTTCTGGATCATTCTAAGATAGTTATCAGTGTCCCTCAGTCCCTCCCAGAGGAAATGTGGCTTGTGGTTTCCTGATTTACAGTTTTGTGGTTTTAAAGCAATGTAGTCAAATTGTCACTGGTTTGAGTTTGTTTCAAGGCATTCATTTCGAGTGAGAAATAAAATTTTTATTTTAAGTAATACTAAGTTTCACAGGATTAACCAAGATTTTTTGTGTGTGTGGTGTGGGAGATGTATTTTGATCTTCTTTATGAAGGAACACATTGTTTTCATCATCATTCTCTTCTTAAACTTACATTTCTGTTCTCAACTTTTACAAGGAAATAATGAATAAAGCAGTTAATATAAACAAAGGAAAATAAGTATAAACTTCTTTAAAATGAAAGAAACTATCACTAAAATAAAAAGAAACCTTACTGAATAGGAGAATATATTTGCTCACCATGCATCTGACAAGGGGCTGACATCTAACATCTACAAGGAACTTAAATAACTCAACAAAAAGGAAATAAAGGAGCAATAAAAAATGGGTAAAAGAGCTATATAGACAATTCTCTTAAGACATACAAAAGGCCAACAGGCACATGAAGATATGCTCATCATCACTTACCATCAGGGAAATGCAAATCCCAACCACAATGAGATACAAAGTCACACCTGGGAGAATGACCTCTATCAAAAAGACCAGAAAAACAAGTACTAGTGATGATGTAGAGAAAAAAAGTGACCCTCATACACTATTGGTGGGAATGTGGACTGCTCTGGCGCTTATGGATAACGGTATGGAGATTTCTCAAAATATTAAAAATGGATCTACCATATGATCCAGCAATTCCATTTCTAGGTATCTATCTGAAGAATATAAAACCCACTGATCTCAAGGGATGCATAGACTCTTATGTTTATTGCAGCACTATTTATTTTAAGTAATACTAGCTATGCTACGGAAACAGCCAAGCTATGGAAACAACATAAATGTCCAGAGACAGAGTGAATTAAGATGTGGTATATAAACACAATGGAATACTACTCAGCCATAAAAAGATAAACTATTGTCATTTGTGACAACCTGGATGGAACTGGAGGACATGATTCTAAGCACAATAAGTGAGGAGAAAGAAAAGCACCAGGTGTTGTCACTTATATGTGAAATATAAAGAAACAAAACAAAGGGTCAGGTAGAGTTTTACCAATAACAAAGTCTAGAAATCTGACTCTGGGATTGAGGATCCCAGGGGGAGGTGGTAGAGCACAATGAACTATGGTGAATGTCTGTGATGTGTTGGTAGTTGGTGTGGTGTTCAAATACCTGGAGTGGGTGATCTTCTACCTAAAAAGCCTATGAAGTTGTAAATCAGTGTCATCTCAAATAAAAAAAATAAAAAGGAACAGTTATAAAAGAAAATTAGTAAAGGGGCCAAACACTTCTGCAAGTGCCAGTGGTGATGGCACATCTGATTTATATCTCAATGGAGGTGCCTGTTGGTGTGTTCACAGCAGCCCATGACCATATATGTACTGTTGATTAGGATTAGGATAGAGTTTATTAAGGAGCAAACCAACACTGCTAATGAGAATTCTCACAGGCTGTGTTCCTCCTCAGAGGCTCAGCCCCTCATGGACTCTCAAGTGATTCTAGTGACTTCCTAACAGAAGCTGCTACTTGTGATCGAACTCATGACTCGGTTGGCCATGCTGTGCAGATTGCAACTCAGGAGGACACACATCCTCTCTTAAACGTGTACTTAAGAAGTGTGTTATGTAAGTTGTCTGGATAAGATCCACTAAACCAACTTCTTTTGTTCATTTGATCTTGGAAATACAAGCTACTTCCTCTGAAGGCTCAGTGCCATTTGGAGGTTAACGTTCACTTACATATTTGTAATACATGATCTATTTGTCCAAAACCCATTCTGGATGCTGGAATTTCCACAAATTGCTGATTCTGTATCTTTGGCAAGGCATTCGATTCATGTGCTTTTACAAAGAATTATGATTTAGTGTTTAGAAATAGATGAACGACTCTTGACTTATAGAGTTTGATAAAATAACAGGAAAGGAGAAACTGAATAAAACTGCTCTCTCTGTATAAAGACAAGAACAAATTAAATTACTCATAATGTCTGTTATTTATCACTTTCCAAATAGACCTCATTTTGGAAAGATAAGGAAAGTAATAGGAAGCTATTTCCAGACCATATGGAACTACATCATTTATCAGGGACATTGCCAGATTCACGGAAAGTGACTGCACTTCACAAGCAGGAGAGTTCCTTTCACAGGTGGGGTTCCAGAGATGAGCATCATCTTTTGATGCTGCTGCACCTCTTCATTGCATCCATAGATGCTAGAGCAGTACGCTGATGACCATTTTTTTCAAGATTTTAAATACATACCATGATTCTGCCTTTTTAGTTCTGTTTAAAGTAGAGCTTGCTCTCTCAGACTGTGAGATGTTTCCATGTGGTTGAGTCCATAGGACATGACAATTTTTATTTTTCAAGATGATATTTTTTTACAATTTCCAAACCTCATTTTCTAAAAGGAACTATTTTTTGGATGGGTTCATATTCAAACTAGGGGTGAGCAGAAATTAACATTTGCTCTGAGACAGAACAAAGGCTTCTGGAAATCTTATTGCTTCAATAAGATTTGCTCATTTCACCTCACAAACTGCTGTGGATTGAATCGGGTCCTCAGGACTCATACCTTCAAATCCTATCCCTCAGTAACTCAGAGTGTGACTATATTTGTAGAGGTCTTAAAAGAAGTAGGTAATTCATTTAAAATGAGCCTTTAGGGGAGGCTCTAGTCAATCTGTCTATGGTCTAATAAGGAACACAGGAATGCCAGCTTCCATGAAGAAAGACCACATGAGGACACAGCAAGAAAATGGACACCAAAGAGAGCCAAGGTCATCAAGGTCAGCCAAGACCAGCCTCAGAGAAATCAATCCTGCTCACACCTTGACCTTGGACATCCAGTCTCCAGAACTGCTAGAAAATAAAGCTCTACAATCTGTGTATTTTGTTGTAGTAGCTCTTACAGACAATACGCAAGTTAATCCACCTTCAATACCTCAGCATCTGGCATGGTTGGGTTGTAGTTGTTCTATCTTCTTCTTAGCATATTAGAAAATGATCTAATTTAGCTTTCTGAGAAAGTCAATAAACATTCTGATAGATATTTTATAAATTTAAGACCTTTAAAAAAGTATATTGGAATAAGTACATTTTAATGGTCTAAACGGGAGAAAAGTTAGCTTTTAAATTTTGTACAATTTAAAATATTTATTACCTTTGAATATAGCAGAACTAGTGAAGCAAGAAATGAAGTAATTGAATGAAACACCTGTCTAATACCTAAGTAGTAACTATACCATCAAGGACAAATTGGAGAATCAACTTTGTTATATTTCCCTGATGCCAAGTTAAGAGTTAAGGTTCTGATTAGGATTCTGCATGAAAGGTTAAGCCATAAACTGAACTGTTGCTTTTCCTCACCAACATTATGAAAATTAAAAACACACTTGGCTGGAGAAATCAATAGAAATTTTAATATTTTAAAAAGGTGAAAGATAGATATTCAGGATTTTAGCAGTGGGTGCACAGATTTTAGTAATGTACCTGCACCTCTTTGCCATTTGGATACTAGGTTGGAAATAACTTCTTTGTCTTTGATCTCTCTGCATCTCTGAATGGCACTAGAACAAATAGAGGTACACTTCAGTTGGATGTTCAGGCTTCATGTAGAGTCTCCATTCTTCACGAAGAGTCTCGTGAAGATTGTCGGTGCTCTTCCTTCTGTTAAGTGATAAAATTATGAAGTGTTGTCAATGTTCCATTGTTTCTATGAGTTTAGATGGCATTCTAAGCCATCTTTACGTTGTAGGTTAAATGGAGTGTTTTAGAAAATATCAATGCCTTGTGTATCAGTCATTATTCAGAATTTTCCAGAAATCCTTATATTCTGAGTGTCATTCCTAACTAGGAATAGCCCACATGCAAGTGTAATCCTGACTATTGCATGAAGAAAGACCCCATCCTCAAATTGGTTGCCACTGGACACTGAGCAGGAGTTTCTCAAGTTCCGGGGTCTGCGATGGTGTTCCAAAGGCTCTATCTGACTCTATCAAGAATGATTAAGGAGGAAATAAAACAAAGAGGCAAACATGCATTGCACTGTATATTTTACAAAGTGTTTTCTATTGAAGTTGTTTTGATGGATCCGCTCTCAACTCCAGTGAGGTAACTTAACCTTCTTATAGGATCATAAACTTGGAAGATTCCTTATTACATCAATGGGTGTATAATGATCATTAATGTCTTCAGCTTAATATCTGGTAATCACTAATCTTGAAAGATATCTCAGGGGAAATTTCGGAAACACTATTATTCAAGTTTTATGACATGGCTTTATTAAAAGTAACCAAAGATGCTGTCCTCCAAAGTATTACAGAAAATTTGAATGGATCAGTGAGAAAAAGAATGAAAAACAGCAGAGGTCTGTTTCTGTGCCAGTCAGTCATGGTCAGTGCTTCCTTGTTGACTGCCAGCCTTTTGTGTGCTCACAATGGGGAGTTGCCTCACTGGTGTCCACCCTGACAGTGGATTCTAGCATGATAAAACAGCAAGAGCAAAGGAAGCCTCTCTCACATGTCTGTATGTCCCTTTTTCCCCATCCCTAATTTCCTAGTAGATGAATACATTTTGGAGCATAATGCATTTCTCTTTTTTTGTTAAGACTAGAGTTAGAAAATAGAAGATCAGATGTCAAGTGTCCTATTTTTCCAAATTTCACCTCTCACTTGCAGAAAAGCTCCAGCGATGACACCACAAGCATTCAAATCTTTCTGCTTTGGCAACTGAACTTTGGTGAGTCTCTTCATTTACTCATACATGACACATTTGATTCAATTAGATTTGTTTCCTCAATGAAAGAGTGAGAACTTTCTTTAATTTTTTTTTAGTGTGGCTTATATTCATATAATGAAACGATTATCCATTAAAGAACAGACAACTCCTGACATTTCTGGCAAATAGAAGAGTTTGCAAAATCCAGAGATACTGAAAGAGAATAATGCAATTGTTTCCTTAAACATCCGTCTTCAATTTTTCACTTACAATAGTTCAAATACATCACCTTTTTATCATCTTGTCATCAAACACTAACATGTTTGCTATTTGAGGGAAATTGCCAATTTGAAGATGTTATGGGTGACGCCTAAGTTACTCTGGTTTGTGTTAAAGACGAGTGTACTCCGTTACCAATCTCACTTGTCTGCTGATGTTGAGGAGATCGCTGGCATTCACTGGGCTAGAAAATTACCTAAACATATTTTAGATTTAACTCTCAAAGCATTTTTGATGCTTTTTCACTCTTTCTTATTTTGACAAATAATTCAGTGATAAGGTTGAATACATTCAGAGAAGGGAAGGATGTCTCCATTTTGAGAATAAAGGGAAGCGATACCTTTAATGTTTATTATTACCAAATCAGTGACTGCAGAATGTAAAATCTCTAAGGAAACTTGGAGGAGGTTTGGGTACAAATCCTATCTAATACACATTTGTATCTTTAGATGAAATTGTATTAAGTTCAACAATTATTGCATAATGAAAACATATGATTAATATTTTATCTATTTCTGGATTTCCAGAAAAATATATTTAGTTTTAGCATTTTTTATTATTGAAGAACTAAAAATGTATGCTGCCTATTTCATTATAATTATTGAGCACGCACATCGACCACTTTCAATCAAATAAAATTTAGCTATTTTCTCAGGTTATCTTTTTTTTGGAGTCTCACCTACTGCTTCTCTCAGATGAAGACATTTTTGTCTGAAGCTTATTCATCAGCTTCCAGTCATTTAATAATGAAAAACTTCTTTTCTGTTGGAAGTTTAAGGAGAATGTCCCCTGCAGAAAAGTACAGTGAATTAAAATGAATTAAGTTTCCATTGTTTTTTCAAGTCTCCTGATTATCAGTCCCCTGTATCAGACAATTATGCTTTTTCTTAACATGAAAACTGTGGATGTATTATTTTATCCCATATATGGTATAATTTTGATTTTGGCAGTTGAACAATACACACAGCAAAAATCTTACTTCCTTTCTTCTGTCTTTTCTTTTTATGGTCTTAGAAATGCTCGTATTTAAAAAAAATATTTCTTCCTGAGCACATGATTCCAACATTTTTCTTTTCATTACATTTTAAGTACATGGAATACCTTACCCAGTAGTAACAATTCTGGATATAAACCTTATTGTTATGAGATATTCAAAATTCCATCAGACGAATTTTAAAACACACTAAAACTATACTCAAGAGAGCATTTTCTGTTTTGAGTTTGCAAATGATACTGGTGGGGAGGGGGGAAAGGAAACTGGGGAGTGGATCCAATTGGCTGTTGGGGAGGGTCATGGGTGGCTTGGTGGTGGGCATGGCCTTGTGACAGCATCTGAGGAGGTAGGATCTTGCATCTCCAAATCACACACAGTGGTATAAACCAATGTGGCCTCAAATTAAAAAAAAATAATAAAAAAGAAAATGTTTTCTTGATTGAAGTTGAAACTATGTTGCCTAGTTCCACTAAAAGATGGTTGCCAAAAAAAAAAAAAATGTTATCTTCCATACCTACCACCTGGAAAGGGTAATAAGAGTAATAGATTTAAAAAATCAACATGTTTGATTGGATCATTCATTTTGTTATTTTGTTAACTGTGATATTATAAAGGTTAGATTTACTAAAAGAATTAACTTCTAGGCTTATTCCTGTAATGGGTTCTGTGATAAAGGGCTTGTGCAACATGATAAACTCATTCCTATATTTGTTAATATTGTTCTACGCCGCCCCTTCACACAGTACATGGATGGGATCTCTTAATGACTGTGCTTTGTTCAGGGGGCATTGTAATTGGAGAAGTCCCTTCTACCTGCACAGCACCAGGGCTGTAGCCTGAGGTTCCTGTCCATCGGAATCAGTTCTCCCCATATAACTCTGTGGGAAGCAAAGGTGTCACAATTAAGTGCATGTTGAATTAATAATCTCCTTTAACTTCAAGATTACAATGACTGTTAAGATAACCTTGTGCTACTTTATGCGGTAGATGCCATTTTTCCCATACATGCAAGATTTTAGTTTAATCACTTGTGTTCCATGACTTCTCTCTGGGAGTACTCCTTGAGTCCTTCTCTGGGAGAATAAATTATGAACCATCAAATTATGTGTATCCAAAATAATTTTTGCAATACTTTCACAAAATATGTTTGTTTGTGACTATGATTACAATATGATTATGTCACTAATTTCCCACTTTTGTCCTATAAGCAGTGTTCTCCCAGGAATTCAGATATTACTGATTTATGAGTAAGGAAAAGACCTGGGATAATACTAATGCTTAAAGGGCCAGCTTTATACATGGGGCATTCAATGACTTTTACAGGACTTTCTGGGAGCACCTGAAGTGAGGTTGAGTATTGAGCATCGCCAAAGAGTTCAGATGTAAGGGATTATGTTGACCATGAACCTGATCCCAATTTGTATTCATATCCGTAAGCTATATGTAATAATTTCTTAGTCCCAGAATAAAAAAGACCTTCTCTCTTATTTCCTGGGAAGTGATATCCTAGAAAACATTGAGTGCACACACATCATAAATTCATAGAATGATTTAGATGCTGTTATACTGCATCTATCAAAAATAAATAAGTACATGTAATCATAAAAACACAAATAATGGCAACAGCAGACAGATTTCTTGATGTGACAGGAAGTATTTTCCAGTTTAACAGATAAGTGATAATGTATTTAATTACACAATAGCCAACTATGGAATTTTTTTAATGTTTTTTGAACAGTGAACATAATGCTTTGGGATTATCCTAGAAGAGTTGACCTTCATAAACATATGCATGTGCATCTTTTTCTTTTTGTGAAAACTATTTTAATCCTTGGGCCCTAAATAGACCAAAGACCTAAAAATCAATGGTAGTTCTTAAAGCAAAAGACAGACAGTCAAAAAGTCAATGGAATATCCAAAGTTCTTTGCATATTTTAAAATCAAAATCAATAATGAGGACATGTTCGGTTCCGGTTGTTCATGTATTATTGTTTGTCTTCAACTTCTTCACAACAGACAAGGTTAATAGTTCATATGAAATCTATGAATTTTCTTGTGATGAAAAGAAGGCAAAAGTTCTAGAATAATAATATTAGCAAAGATATTGAAAGTAATTTTACAGTATCTTAGGTAAATATTCTGAGTATGTGTAATATGTACTTTAGTATATTAGAAGATAAAAATAGAAAAATATATCTGGTACATGGTGGGCACTCATTAAATATTTATTGAATGAATGAATGTTTTTATAGTAGGTCAACAAATATTATATATAGTTTTTATAGTAGGTCAACAAATATTTTTATAGTATGTCAACATGTTTTTATAGAACTTTTTTATAGTATATCAACAAATATCATATATTATATATTAGGTCAACAAATATTAACTATATTGCTTGAGGCATGATGACCTGACTTAGAAATCTTCAAATAATTTCAAAATCCTCCTTCAGATTATGAATAGAGGCAGAGAGAAGTTAAGCACCTTTTTTTAAAGGTAAGAATAATATTTGAACTAATGTTTATTATGTTCCAGCTATTTTCTAAGCAGGTCAGTTCATTGTTAATCTACTTATTCACCTCTGATTATACCTACATCTCCTTATTTTTCAAGCAAAAAACTACATATAAGAAAGGTTAGATAATATATCCTAGGCAATGCATTCGTAAGTGGTCAAATTTAATTCAACTTCGACTAACTAAGATTCCATTTGGCTGGCATTTGTTTCACCCTACAACCCGGTTTGAACTGTGTCACAATGTGATCACAATCACTAGTAAAAAAAAGTCCAGACTGAAAATGTCGGTTTCTTCAATAATTCTAGTGTTCTTTCCTCTTAATGATTCGACTCCCTTAGCGTCTCTTGCTGAGAACACATTCCAAATAGGCATTTCTAGATTGGAAGGATGCAAAGCTACTGAGACATAATTCAGTATTCACTAGAATGATGGGCTAGGAAAGAGAAGCATATAGCTATTGCTATGGGAAAGACTAGATCACTATTCAGTTATGGCTGAACAGCGAGACTTCAGTAAAATGCTACTTGTGCTGTCTTTAAATTACATTCCCAGTAAAGTGACGAGCATCATCGGAAATAGAGGTGTGAAAGTAGCATATGTTCAGAGCCCAGCTATGGTCTGTAAGTCAGAACCGACGGGCACGATGTCAAGATTGAGTGGGAAGCAGGACGGCGGCAGATTGTGGAGGCTGTTGAGTGTAACACTGGGGCATTTAGGTTTTATTTTCTTGAAGATGAGGAGCTATTATAAGTATGAGAAGATATATTTGAGAAGGGAAATGGCACAATTTAATTATTATTTTATAACTATAATTAAAATTATATGGAAGATACATCTATTGTGGAAAATCTAAAGCTTTTCAATGCCAAAACTCACTAACAGAGTACTTACTAATTTTCTTCAGATTCTGTTCATTTTTTAAAAGTGAAAGCTCATTTTTTTTTAAATTTTGATGGCATAATCACATTTTTTTATCATAAATTACATTTTAAGGTATGGTCTAGACCAATTTAATATCATCCAAACTTTAACACGTAGGCCACCCATGGAGGCCCCATCAAAATATTTAAATATATTTTTAAGTAAAGATGTATTAAATGAGCTCATGTCCATAACCATATTATTCATTCATCAGTGTATGAACATTTTATAGTTATGTGACTATTTTCTTATGCAAATTGCCTCAGAACAGTGATTAGATGTTGCTGTGGGAATCCAGAAATTAG